AAGAATATAGTGGTAACTACAAACAAGTGAGTCTAAATTTTAAATCAGGGAAAGTTGCTAAGATGTACAAAAGTCAGATTCATACATACACAATGGGGGGAGAAAATATGTTTTCTGTAGAAGAAACTATATATGGTATATATTAGACTTTTGTAGAAAAGTAAGCCATCATGAGGGCAAGAGGAAAAGTTGTGGAATTATATATTAACTTTCTCAAAAAGTCTTCACTAGCTCTTACCCACTTTTAACTGTTCCGCTGTGGGCTAAGGAGGCCTAAACAGAGAAAGGAGGGCTCAAAGAGCACCTACTTGAAGGGAAACCATAAAAGTTCCATGAATTATTACAGGAACTACCTCACAGAAGGGATGCCAGTTAAATTTTGAATTTGTAAAGCACACTACCCTCTTCAGAGACAAAAAGTGGGAAGATCTCAGGAGACTGTGTAAACAAGCAAACAAAAAGGAGCTTTAGAGCCATCTTAGACGGAGAGGATATATTTAAGAAAAAACAATCTATCTTATTCCTAACTAATATCAGTAACTGCCATTGGTGGACCAAAAAAAATCAATGTAGGCCCTCAGGACAAGGGCTAAAGAATTACTATTGGCAAATGATGAATAGAATTCAACTCTACAGAATTCTTATCCATCCCTTTTGCAAAAACTGTATTTTGACCACTTCTGAGTTGGCACTAGAGGCAGGAGGAGAAAAAAAAAATCAAGATATGAGGAATGAAAACTAAAACAGAAGAGACTAGCTAAGGGAAGCAGCTCTATGAAATACATTTTTAACATGAGGGTTTGGCAATCTAAAGAGGTGCCAGGCAATAAATATAGGTTTGGATATTTAATATTATGATGAAATAAAGTAGACATAGGGTTCAACATCAAATTCTAAAATGCCATACCTGGGAGGCTGCCAATGAAGCTAGAAAGTACAACACTGAGAACCAAAAAATGATAAGATCTTACTGAGAGATTATAAATTTATGAAAATTTCCCCAAGAATTAGTATACTAGGACATTAGGACACTGGTTTTAAAGAAAAGCAGAAAGAATAATCCTTTAGGATACCAAAAGCCTATTTCTATATAAAGAAGCTTGCATATGCCACTTTAAAGACAGATTTAACCTTGCAAGTCACTGACCCTTAATCATGCTTGGATTTTTTTCAAGAAAAATAAACCATTTGCTCAGAAGATTAAAGGTAGGGAAGTCTTTTTTTTCAGAGTTTTCACACTTGTTTAAGAGGATAAAGATACCCTTCCTTATCAGTCTTATCAGCCTCTACTCATCATTCAAAATTCTAATTTATTCATTCTTCCTCTTTAGATATTATATTTCCAATTGCCTGTGCTTTCCTGATACCCCCTTAAATACAAAAAGAGAAAAGAAGGGAGGAAGGTTTGGGGAGGAAGGGAGGGAGGAAGGAAGCAGGTAGGGAGTAGGGAGAGAACACAGAGTTGGTTTATCAGGTGTCTGCTTTTCCAGGTAATCTATAGACAAATCTGAGAGATTAACTTGCACACTGAATTTGTCCAGGCTTTTCACAGATATTCACAGATACTCAGATTAACATCTACTGGTACAGTGCAGCAATGAAACAGGACACCTCAGTCTGTTCTGGAATGACCTCCTGCAGCATCAGCTTCTCAGTATCCCTCAGGACCCTTTTGAACTAGAGAAAGTAAGAGAAATCTGATTGCAAATTCAGATGACTATGTATTGTGCTGACACCTTAATGTGCAAGACAGACATTCCTTTGAATTATCTGCATCTTTGTGTCTGTTTATATAGAGAGATGAATTACCTCTTTTCTGTCCTAATGGATTTGGCTATACAAATTACATCTGAGGCTGTGCTACACTGACTTATCTACTTCTATTTATATCAAAAATTTCTTTCTAAAGCAAAGTTAAATTAACACAAATTCTTTCTTTCTCTCCTATAGTTTCACGAACTTCAAACCAGAGTTTTGAAAGGCATACAAGTTATATTGTTTCACAAATATATTAAAGATGGCATAATTTTAACAAGTAATATTTCTCCTTGGGTAACATTTGATCTTGGTTAGAATGAGATGTAAATGAGGGGTGATCAATATTAATAGGCTATAGATATGAGAAAGTATTGAGAACTTTCCAGATATCTAACAATACTAATCTATCCCTGTGATAAACATTAAAAATCAGTTATGATCTCTGTCCTCAAGGACTTTATATTCTCACTGTATTTAGAAAAGATGAAATTATGTTCTTAGTCATTTCATTCATATCAGTTAATGAAAGTAACTGCACTTCTATTAGTTTAGACTCAGATAAACCTGGACAAATTTCTGTTGTTTGCATTTCAAGGAAGGCCTCCAAAAAGCCAGCTAAGAATACAGTGTAATTGTTTAATACAAGCAGACTTTGAGCAAGGAGACTTGGAATCAAGTTCTGGGTAACGTTAACAAATGGGTTTGACCTCATGGAGCCACTGTTTTCCTATCTGGGTAATGGTAACATTAATAAATTCCACTATTTGGGCTGTGCATTGAGCTGAAATAATGTACTCAAAGTGCTCTGAAACCATAAAGCTATGCTAGTCACTATGATATCAAGCCACCATATAGTTTCAGGAACCTTAGGACCCCTGTTAGAGAAGGGCACCTTATTAAGTGGGCCATGCCCTCCACTCTGCTCTTGGGGAAGGGCAGATCAAAGGTATCCTGGAGTCTGGAGAGCACCCCCTCTTGCTTTTTGGCTATCTTTCACATATCTGTCTTCATCTTTCTTATTTTAGTGACCTTTTTTTGACTCTTGTTTGGGATTTCAATGCACTATTTAATTTTTCCCTGTTATTACTTTTATTTGTCTTATACAGTGCCAAAAAGAGGGACTAAGATTTTGCTACTCTTTAGCCAAGATGGTAAATTAAAGCCTTTCATTTCACTAAGTTAAAAAAGCAGGGTTGATCATTTAAAAGTGATCTCAGATTTTGGCCATATTTCTCAGTCTTCCACTTGGGCCATTCTTATATCTCTTTCATTACACACATGTACAGGTTTGCCTCTTGCACGCAAAAATTGGGAAGAAATAAGATTAGAATAATAATCCACTCAAATTTGGTTTTATTGCTGTTTTATCCTCAACAGCTCTGTTCAAAAATAAACCAAAATAAATAAATAAATAAAATAAAATAAACCAGTAGTAAAGGAAAAATAAAAGTAAATGCTCTTAAGGTTGTTGTTGTTGTTTTTATCTTGCCTGGATGTTTATGTGCTGAGGAAAATAGACATTTATGCTTGAGGTGTGTTTCAATACACATGGTACAACTAAATTGTAAAATTGCAAACACTCTTAAATAGAAAAACACACATGTTCACAGAACCTTCTTCTATACAATTTCTAATGTTAAGATAAGCCTGAAACAACATAACTTCTGAAAGTGAATTAGCTAACTTTTGATACTTCTTATAATATATGCATATTTGAAGTTAATGATTTTTTAAAGCATAAGCTTTTACTTTAATGTTTATAGAAAACTACATTTATTTTCCTGAAATCAGATCGATGTATAGATAAGCCCTGATTTTCTTATATTGGTAGCTGGCTGAATCTTTCACACAACAGAGCATCAGAATAGGTGTTTTCGTAGACAATCTTTAGAAATAATATACTTCATTTCTACCTTTCCTAAAACAAGAAAACCCTCAATTTTCATCCAGTTGCAAACATTATTCAAAACAAATTTCTCAATAAAAAGTAGGTTTAAGGGAGTTGTATACTGAGTTCTGGCTGCCCAACCACAGCAGAAAGGTGTCTTGTCCTCTAAACTATCAAGGAAGGCCTAGGAAACTTCTGGTGGGATAGACTGAGTGTTAAAGGTGATGAGGAAACTTATAAGCAAAATTGAATTAAATCAGAATTCTGAATTCCAGACTGACGTGTTTCTGCTAAGCTACTCCAAGTTTTGAAGAAGTACGGGCAGTTAAGAGTGCACCAAGAAGGATCTGATGATGCGAACACATATGCTCCCTGTCACAAACACACCCTCCTTGTCAGAGCAATGTGCCATCAAAGGTACAAGTTAACAAGGGAATTTCCAGCACTTTCCTTCATTTGCATACATCTTTCCTAACTTCAGGCCCAAGAGAGGTCAAAAGAGGTTTACCTAGCTAAGGAAAGGAAGACATCGCATGCAGACCATCTGCACAGAATCGGAGTGGAAATGCTACTTTGGGGATTTTGCCCTCCCTTCCTCTTGAGATGCGGAAGAACGTGCCTTCTGCTTACAGACACTCACCTAATCGGCCCCAGGATCCTCGTGATCACTTTCCTCGCAAAGTGAATGGTGGGTCCACCGACCCAGGTTCACCTTGGCCTCACCTAAGTGGAACAGGGCCCGGGGCCAGGGCGTGTGACTCTGACCTCAGGCGGCGGGAGAAGGGCCAGGCGGGGCGTCTCGGTCCCACCGCAGGTCTCAGGGTGCAAACAGGGTGTGGGGGCGAGAAACGAGTTTGAATGGGACGGCAACTTGAAGTGTTTTTAAGGTTTTTTGAAATGGGCAAATGCGCTGAATCCATTCAGCGGGGGAGCTTTGCAGGACGTCACCATCCCCTTGTCGCCTGGGACGCACACAGGACCCTGGCCGAGAGGGGGCGAAGGTGTCCTGACGTGAAGTCCACCCGCCCGAGCGCGGGATCGCGGGCGCCCGGCACCAGGGCGGCGCCGCCAGAGAAGCGCCGGGCCGCGGGCGCTGGACTCAGAGCCCTGGCTGCTGCGTCCGCGGCTCGTCACGCCGCGCCGGGGCGGGGGTGGGGGGTGGGGTGTAGGAACTCCGGGAGGTCCCCAAACTCGGAGACAGAGCTTGGCACCCGGTCCCGCCGGCGCAGAGCTGCGGCAAAGGAAGCGGCGCGGCCCCTCGGGGTGGGGAGGGGGTGGGAAGGAGACAGGTGAGACCCGGCGCCCTCCCAGAGCCAGCCGCGCCCCCGCTGTCTCGCCCCGAGAGGGCACTCACCGGCTTTGCACGGATCCTTGTAGTCCAGCGCCTCCGCCTCTTCCTCTCCGTTGCCACCGAAAGTGTAGTCATAGTCGAGGCCGGCGCAGACCCCCAGCTCCGCGCAGAGGACAGCCCCCGTGGCCACCATCCACGCGAGCATCCCCAGGGAAAGCGTCTCCAGCCCCATCTTCCTCGCGAAGAAGGGCACCGGTGGCTGTCCTCGTGGGAGGCTCCTCGGCGCGGCCGGCGCTCAGGTGTCTGGGGACATGGGGCGCCGTCGGGCCGAGAGAGGGCTGGGCGGCCTGTCCCCCGGCGCGGGCTAGGTGGCGGGCGGGGGCAGGTACAGAGCGGGTCCGGGCGGGCGCGCGGCCAGGCTGCCTCCCCGCGGCCGTCCTTCCTGCGGCTCAACGGCTCGGCTGCCCTAGGCTCAGGCTCTCGGGCTCAGGCTCCCAGGTCCCCGGGCTCAGGCCCCGCGCGTGTCCCGCACCCAAGACCCGGCGCCGCCCTGGGAGGACGAGTCCCGTCTGCACATCAGCGCGTCTGAGCTGAAAGTGGGGACCGCGGTCGCGGGTGGGAGACAGACATCCCTTCGCCGCCAGACCTTAAAAGCCGCAGAAGCAGCACAGCAACTGGCTGCGAGAAGGGCGAAAGTGGGAGGATTTGGGGATGCACTGTTTGCCTCCCCCCCCCCCAACCCCGGCTGTCTTTTTACCCTCTTCCTAACTTAAAAAAAAAAAAAAAAATAGAAAAAAAAAGAAAAGAAAAAAAAAAATCTTCACAGAATC